GCGGGTGTGGGTGTGTGTGTGTGTGTGTGTGTGTGTGTGAACACAGCATTGAAAGATAATTTGGTCCCATTCCGTATGGAACTCGTGGCTCAGAGAGGCAGAGAGAGTGACCAGTACGAGGCACACAGAGCGGCGAGGCCGGCACTAGAGAAAGCCCGTCTGCGGACCCCGTCTGGTCCCCGCCCATTCTTCTCCGCTGTTGGCACCTCTCTTCGTCCTCTGGGGCACTGACATTTTCTTTTTTTCTAGGAGAAATCAGTTGCCGGTGTCCAACAAGGCTGATGGCGAGCTGGGTGTCCTGCAGCTCGGTAAGTGTGGCTGCCGCCTCTGTGCTGTGCCCGTCAGGGATCAGAGGCCTTCATTTGCTCTTCATAGTGGGTGGTGGGCTCTCTACGGCAGGGGTGGGGGTCCCTTCCTTCCCATCTACCTGAGGAAGGAGGGGCTGGCCCAGTGAGCAGAGCAGGCTTCTTTCTTTTTGGTTGATGTCTTCTCGTACCACCTGTCTTTGTCTCCTGGAGAAATTCGTATAAGAAGCCTGGGCGTTTCTAGATCCACACTGGATGGGGTGGGGGAGTGTGCAGAGGAGGCTTTTCTGCACTTGGAGGTTCTCCTAGGGCCACTGAGAACCCCTCTACAAGACTGTTCTCCATCAAAATATTAGCACAGCCATGTCTGGGGAAGTCCATTCTTTAAAAGAGTTTACCAACATGTTATCGAGGTGTAAAATACAAACTGGGAAGTATATAAGTGCACAGACCTTTAGTGTTCAGCCCGTGCATTTTCACGTGCGTGCACATCTGTGTAACTAACTCACCAGCATCAAGGTGGAGAACACCTCCGTCCACTCTTCGGTTTTGAAGCACTCTTTTTCCCTTCTCATTCTATAATTCTCTACTCCCCAAAGGCTGGTGCGTTCGTAGGGCTTGGCAAAAGCGGCAGTAGGATGGAGGATAATGAACAACCACCAAGACAGGAAAGGAGGAGGCTTGAGTGCCTCATCTTCTAGAAGCCAGCAATTGACCTGTTGGACCATTCGAGCACATAGGAGCTGTTCCCATACTTTTCCTCTCCTTTTAAGTGCTTCCTTTTTAAACCGAAGGAAGAAAGCGGTGTGCCCTTTACAAGCTCCTTGTGTGAGACGTGCAGTCTGCCGGTTGGCTTTGATGAAGTTGAAAGGCGGGGGCAGGCCTCTGAAAGACAGAGGCAGGGGTTTATTTATTCTGCTTAACTCACTTCAGAGGTATCAGTTCCTCGGAGTTTTAATCATCAGAAATGGCTGGTGGGGATCATCTGGCCTACCCAGGAAGGGGCAGGCTTCTGCACGTGGCCGGAGGCAGGAAGTGCTGGCGTCTGAAGCCTCACATTTGTAAAGCGCCTCACTTTCAGATTTTCCAGCGAACGCCACTCCTATTTGGACATGAAGTGAAGTGGTTCCCAGCCTTCAGAACGCAAAGGGCTTCTATTAGAAGGAAGGCTTTTAGCAAGTCTGTCAGAACCCAGCTGTTTGAAGTGCGTGTGTGTTTTCCAGAGGGAGGCAGACCCCTGTTTGCTGGTGGCTTAGCTAACGATTTCAGAAAGGAGAAAGAGATAAAAGAGATGATGGAACCTAGTCACCAAGCGACAGGAAAAGAGGCGTTTTGGCATGAGGGAGCAAAAACAAGGACTAAAATTTGGTTAGAGGAAAAGCATTCTCCTCCCCACCCAGTTCATTTTTCTTCGGTTCAATTCAGCATGATTTAATTGGCAATTACGTGCCAGGGCACATGTGGTACTACTGAGGGCAGAGGGAAGTGATTGAGGGTGGCCCTGTCTTCTCGGAGGGCAAGGTTGCGGGGGACGAAGGAAGAGAGGTGTCCTCCGATAGCAGCGCATAAAGCACATGAGCAGCAGTTCACTGCTTCGAGACACATGTCAACTAAGTTCTGTTCTGGGTTCTGGAAGTTTCCATAGTCGGGATGAGATTTAGACTGGGCTTAGAAGGATGGGCAAGGTCTTGCTAAGTAGCAATGAGAAACAAACCTCATGTGTGGGTCAGGGCCTGGACTGTGTGAGAGAAAGAGACTGGCTTGCGGTGCCTGGCCTGGAGGGGAAGTTGTGGGGTCGCGGGGAGA